TGCCTACGCTCCGCCGGTTCCCAACTTTACCCATTCCCTCACCGAGTTTCAACGCTGCCACCACTTTCCTGTAGCTGTTTTTATGCCATCGAAGTTTAAGACTCGTTAATAATTTTTGTTTAAAACAGTCCAACGACAGCAAGAAACATTCTCGCCACTGGCTATGTCGTTCCTGGTATTAATTATCTTTCTAAACACTTGTTGTATAACAAATGTACCAAATTCTGTTCACGTCACAATTTTTACTCACTGTCTATTTTTTCTATAATTTTATATGCAGTCTTAAGTAAGTGAAATCGTAACGTAAACAGATATTAGGACATTTGTTATAATTATTACTCGATGAAATAATGCGTATATTAATTACCGAGTACTCATCGATTTTATACGTTTGTGTCGGTTGCGGTTGAGAATGTTTCGCCGCGGCAACGCGGCGGCGGATCGCAGGCTGTGATTCATAAATATGCTTGTCCGTAGGTGTAGCAAGCCAAACGGAGTCACACCTTCTTATAATTATTAACGGGACAAATGAGCCGGGTCCGTAGCTCGTATACAATAAAAGATTGGGTACGGCGATTCGATTCGCTCGTTTCGCTATTCACCGTGCCGAGCGAGTCCACTTCTCGGCCGTTGACACGGACGTGAGTGTGCGAAATAATCGCGGTAAAAAGAACTGGCAAGGAAGAAAGAGACAAAGTTGCTCATTAAGACATCTCGATAAGCGAATACTTTCCCATTGTTATCGATTGCACGTTCGATGTTTATTAATCAGAGTCGACCGAAATAATCGAAGGAAATATTTTTTCTTACTCTTTTAATCTACACGTCAAATCTCACAGTGTTAAAAAAATGTTTACGTAGCAAAGANACACTAAATTGATATTATAATAGTTTTATTTTATACAACAATTTCGCAGTTTAATAAACATGTATTTTCTTTTATAACTTCGTTTCAAGGAGTGTGTCGTCGAAGGATCGATCAATTCGAGTCTAATCTCGATTCTCGTCCATCTGGACGATTGCGAGGAAACTGAAAGGTTGCATGCAGGCTTGGTAGGAGCAAGGGTGAGAGATTCCTGAGGATTCGACGTGTCAGGTCTACCGTGTGAAAAGATTTCAAGCAGCAGGTGTTGGAGGGCTCGAACAAGATGAAAATCTCGCCCAGGTATTTATCGTTTGGGGACCCGAAACCACGCCTACGTTTCGCTGCCCACAAATCTATCGGCCAACGACAAATCAAGCGTGCATTCTTTAAAGACCAACTCGTATCTAACACTAAACGTGTAAGTTCGCTCTCTTTAAAGCAAATAATGTACTTAGGTTCAAGCACATGAAATGTAGTTAAAAAAGGATAAATAAAATTTTTATAAAATATATCATGCATCAAATAATCTAATTATTTATCAATTATTCCCTTAACGCATCGTGTCATTGCTTTTCGCTTGAATAGCTTCGGATAAAGATTGATTTACGCATGTAAGCTTATGTCAAAGAAGGGAATTTTATATTATTTATACTAGGAAAAAGAAATATGGGATATTCGAAGGTATCCAAGTGAACAGCACTGTCACAAACCAAATTTTGATTTATTTCTATAAGCATGTTGAGAGTTGTGCGTTCTACGATTTGCCAACATTGCCTCATTTATGAATAGTAAAACGACTGAATCGTAGCTGAAAATTGTTCATACATTAACTAAAACAGGACAGTTGCCCAGGCGACTTGAATTTTCTTCAGAACGCCAGGAGCCTTATTGTATAATAATTCCCTTATTTTTAAATTTGACGAACGATAACGAGACTCGGGATAGTACGTCCGTTTTTGAGATTGGCTTCAACTCTTTTTCTTGGATCGGCAGCGAACGGGCCGATTATAATTGTAAATGCTACCATAAAGCAGGCGGCGGCCGAGTGGAAATGAATTGGCACGTTGGGGTTAAGCTCCGCGCGGAATCCGCGGGGGGTCCCGGGATGAGCTAAGGGTCGGCCGAGTGTTGTGAATGGTTCGGAAGAATAACGTCGGAGCCCTCGGGGCCCAACTCGGTCATTAAGTTACGCGTGGTATTAAATCATCGTTGCTGTCATCATCCTCGTTATCTACCGCCTCCGCTGATTCCTTAGCACCGGCTATTTGTTCGCCGCTCGTTTTTTCGCCCCGGAACGAACGCCCGTTCGATCGATCCTCTATTCCGGGCCGAGGCTGTCCGCTCGATCCGCGCAGCTCGTCGGCGTGCGTATCGATCGAGAAAGGGACAGGAGATCGTTCCACCTGGCTCCTTAATAAATCTGTCGGATAGCTCGCCGCTCGAATCGATTACGTCGACGCCGTACGACTAACGACTCTGCGTTTCGCTAATGAAGCCTTCTCGCGATCCATCTCACGTCTTATATTCGAACGCCCAAACATTAGACAATTTCGCGTTAATCCGTAGGCAGATGATTACATACCGGCCGTGCTTTGCTCTTTCCCTTCGTACACCGCCGAACCTTTTTAATAGACGGAATAATTCTGTTTCGCGGTGGTATCGCGACCACGCGATATGCGTGCCAGGGTGTAACGATCAGTTTTGTATCGTTGGAGGCGCGAGGCCCGACGGATGTGTACGTGGGTCCGTTCCTCCGCGGGGGGTACGTCAGTGTCCCCCGGTGTTAGCTGACTAACGTAAGGTTAGCCCATTCGTTCCTATCGTTTTCTCTCCCGGTCCGTCTGGTTCCAGCGCGCCGCGTGGAAGGCTTCTTCGCAGCCTGCTGGTCACCGCATTCCAATCTGTATACCCGTCCTGCTCTCTCACCGTCTTGCTTCCACCATCGCTCACGGTCCCATGGTCCGAATCAAGACCCGCCACCCTCTCCTCCGCCCTTGGTGTCCATTCGTGGGTCCAGAGAGCACACGTTGCAGTCCTTCTTCAAGCCTTCTGACACTCTCGTATACCGGTGGTATCATCGTAGTTGGCTGCAGCCTTTAAGCTTTTATCCCTCTCCAGCGGCGAAGATAACATCGGCTCTCCGGTCCTCTTCTCAGCTCGCTAGCATTTAGAATAAGAGAAGAGACCCCACTGAGCGAGGCACCGCGGTGGGTATTCCGGGTACAACCTGCCACTCGTCAGCCCACCCTCCTTAGCGCGCGAGACCGCTCCCTCTCTTCTTCTTCTTCTTCTTCTTCCACCTTCTCTTTCGTAACCATCAACGATCAGTATATACCTGTCCATCTAGTATCACTGTTGTACCTACGGGTGCATACGCGACTACTCTTACTTTGTATCTTTTCACTCCTGCACCCGCTGGCTACCTATACGAACCTCTATTGCCTGTCTTCGATCAGCCCTGTAAATCAAACGAGGTGTTCAATTTTTTATGATAAACGCCAAATGGACCATACATTAAATCTTATAATGTTATAGCTTATAATATATTTCTATTTCTTAAGATAAAGTTGAAGTTAATTCTTTTTATTGTGACAAAGATTCTTATATTCTTTAGGTAGTATATCGATTAGTGTACAGGTAATTTCTTTTAATTATTACATTATTATTAAATTTATATTGACGCAGAGGCAGCTAAGATAGAGCTCATCTACTATGAAAAATTCTTGAAGTGCAGAGTTATGTTTGTCGAGAGAGAGATATATTTAATTTAATTTAAGAGTAGGAGTTATGTATCTGAAATGTGCCTCTGGATAATAGCAATTTTCTTCCCATGTATTCGAATAATTAATTTATAAACAAAACTTGATTATAACTTTTGCAGCGATTTGATTACTTTCTGACAACAGTATAATTGGTTTAATTAAATTTATTATTATTATGTGTATTAGCATTTTGATAGTTAATTTCTAGGAATATTATTATTGTTATATTAGTGCTAAAGTAATTATGTACACTACTTTTTACAATTTATTGTATTGCAAAAACGAGTGCAAATATTTGCTATTATTAATAATAATTATTAATAATATTCAAAGTATAAAAATATTTTTGATGCAATAGTAAGTAATAAGTTGAGATAAAAAGTAATGAAATAAGATATTTAAGACTTAGGAATTTTTGCCAGTTTTTTACCATTCCATAAAAAGGTTTGTTTCTTCTTTTCACTCGCGAATCGTTCAGCTTTACAGAACGTCAGATGAGGAACTTCTTCGCTTGTAGTCTCCAGCCAGGATGATCGGTCAGGCGAAGAAAAGGAGACGTCCACGATGCATGAAAACGATAGCGAGGATACTGATGAATAAAAAAGCAAAAATTCACGTTAGGACGGAACCTTGGGAAGAACCTGACGTATCCTAATGCCGGGCTGAGATCTTGCGACGCGCTGCCACACACTTGAAGCGGGCCTGAGGTTTCCGCGCATTCCATTCATCCAGGCTTCCTCGTATTTCTCAAGGAGGAAATCTACCAGGAAATACTTACATCGTAACATTTTATTTATACGATATAATGATATTGTGTTACATTATCAATCCTTTAACTTATTGTCACATGCGAAATTCATTAATTCGAAGTCCATTGAAATTGAAGAAATTTTTTCGAACACACACACACGTTTTCATTTTGCTTCCATAATAACAGTCGTAATTAATAAATAATTTCGTATAGAATTAAATATGACTTGACACACATTCTAATTAATTTATTTATTTGATATAAATTGTAAAAATTATTACTTGATATAAATCAATAAATTAACTGAAGGAAAGGGTTACACGTGAAATTTTTTAATCGTAATAAGTAGCATCGAAAGTCTGCGTAATAATTCACTTGCCGTGGCAGTTGTTATTGAAAACAGTTGCCACGGACGGGTTTCGCCGTAATCGTAAGTTAATCTCGATCGGTTCCAGTTAATCGCAAATTAGTGTTCGCGTTGTTATAATTTCTCTTTTGATAGCGGCGAGGAGATATACGATGTAGATAGGAAAAGTAAGGATTCTGGAGAAACCGATGCATCCTGATACACTTAATGAGTTAACGGCGGTGCGGCGGCCTAGCTACCGGGCTTACCGTGGCGATGACTACTGCGGCAGCCACCTGGAAAGAATGCCCTCCAGGGACACCGCCAAGTAAAAGGAACGTTCCTCGACTCCACCCGTGAAATACATTTTCACAATATCGTTCCTATCGATCGTTATTATTGTAGCCTTCAATGCTGTGATAAAAAAATTAGTTAAATTAATACTACCATGGGTGAGACACCCGAATATACAGGATGATCGAAAAGATCAGGACCAAATAACGTCAAGTAAGTAAAAAAGATCTGGGAAAATGCTTCATTGAAAAATTATTGTTTACAAGACAATCCCAATTTCTATTTATTTTTCTATAATTTTATGTAATTTAGGAAAATTTAGTCAGGGAGTAGGAATTGTGACGTGAATAGAATTGAATTTTAATTCTTAATTTAAGAATTGGGCCAATGTTTCTGTTATAATTTTTACACACTGGTTTATTTTATTATAATTTTAAGATACCATGTAAAATTATAGAAAACTACGCCAGTGAGTAGACTCTCGTTTCTCTAAGAAGCCACCTTTTATCCATTTATACCGAGCTAACAAGATGTTTCACGGATCACCGTACTGGCGAGGGATCAGATACGCTTTGGACGTTTCGTAGCCACATTTCAACTCTCCGGTTTGAAGAGCGACCCAACTCGAGGCTCCGCATACCATTAATACAGCGTTTTCGAGAGGTCCGAGCACATAGGTGTATCTCGAATCAAAAATATCTGCCGACGAAAAAACGATTCCTTTGTCTTCCGCGATTTTACGTAACAATTAAATCGGCCAGCGGGGCTAATTGCAGGATGACCAACCGAATGTGCATGTAACCCTCGGTCAAGGATTCCGTCGACGTAAAGAAAAAAAAACAAACATACATAGTATCAATTTATTTCCAGGGAACGAAAAAAAAAATCGACGCGTCATCGTTTGTCAGCGTCCGCCTTTTTTCTTCATTTTTCTCAAGTGTAGCCGCGGCGTTAATGTTGTTTTCGGTGCTACCGTATAATCGTCGCCGCTGTTGTGCCGCCACGAAAAACCTTTTTCAGGCGGACGGCGTCGAGGGTATTCGTTGATATTTGAAGAGGCTTACGACGGGGATAGTTCGAGTGGATACGAAACACTTGGCTTACCTCGTGGAGCCAAGAAAACACTCGACCGTTCACCGTAACGAAAACACTAATTTGCCTTTCTCGACTCCCGTTCCCGTCTGCTCGAGTTCCCCACGCACCCCTCCACTCGTGCAACTCGATTCTTCCCGATAATAATTATTCTCATAATTCATCGACCGCCAGAAATGGTTATTTCCAAATTGATTTCCCGTTGTTAATTCTTAACCTGACGAATCCCTGTCACTCGGGGAATAGAAAACAGTTTCGAACGATCGGAAGATTCATTTCGCCCTCCCAGCGTGCGGCACGGATTTATTACCTTCGAACGTTTTCATCGAATGGGAGCCGCGGAATTGAATCGTCTAATTCGACGTTTGTATTCCCAAGTCTATCGCGTGCAATCTCCGGGTTTAGCATTACGCGAGGCACCACGTAACGCGACGGTTCACCCGGTATGCAGCCAACAATTCCGGCGTTATATCACCTATCGACCTAAGTATTAGGCGGCGACCGATATAATGACGTATCTAAGGCGAAATAGGAGGGTACGGAGACGCCGCGGGAACGCGCGTTATTACATGCTATTGGGAACTAATTTGAATCAATTTACTTTAGGCGGCCTCCCCGCGCACTTTCTTAACTCGGGCCGCGTGTTTAACGTGCTGGTGCTCGGGCCGTGATCCCGGTGCCACGGCATATTCAAAGGATGCTAAGCTCTCTCTCATTGGCTACCCTTTACATTCTACCCTGACGAATAAAACCTGTGCACTGTTAATACTTTTACACTGAGAAATCAAACAATATATTGGTTCAAGCAAAATGTTTCTTTGTAATATCCTTAGTAGTCTCTTAAGGTTGAGCCGTAAGATCTCTGTTAAAAGTTCAAGACATGAAATAAAAAACTGTGTCCAATATTTGAAGCAATTAACTTGTAGAAAAAATTATTATTAGAGAAGAGTAATGTTTATAAAATTGTTCGATCTGTTTTTCTATGCTGAATTTTTAATGCATAATTTCTAATATTCTAATACACAGTTTTGCCATTTTTTTGATTAGGTTGCATGTCCTATAATTACAAAATTATAAGATTATGTGCAAAACAGTGTTGCATTTATATTTTTTCATAAATGAAATCAAAATTCTGTCAATTCATGTAAGAATTCAAGATGTAATAACTTTTTTAACAGGCTCGCAAAATTTCTAAAATTTTATTAATGTAATATCTAGTAACTGTTAAAATTTCAATGCTTTGTCATTGTTTTTATGTAAAGGTTCATACAATCTTGAAGTCAATTAAAGTAGTCCAAATTTTTGTCACGATTTAACATAAATTGGCAAGATTAAAGAATCATTATATGAAAATTGTTTCTATTATTTTATTTGAAGTACAATTTTTTTACAGACATGATTTGGTAGATGTTGTTACTAATAATTTAATACAAGCCTGCAGTTGAAATAGTCTCCGATGATTATTGGTTTGAAGAATTCGTTAGACTTCGTGCGATGTTAAAATGAAGGGGTGAATGACGGTGTTTGAAATTACGTACGTAAAGGGGCACGTTGTCAAGTAAGCATGCATAATAGATAGAATAACAGTAAGCAATCGTTAGGTGAATTCTGAAAAGGTAAGTAATAAAATCGGGGAGGCACGTGGAGCAAGAAAGAATTTTTTCAACGATGTTATCGCGTCTAGGAAACAACGGGCGCGTGTACACGCGATAAAATTGCTGCAACGAAAAATATAACGCCTAACGCGAGGCTCGTAAAGTTTCGATTACGCACGGACGTCGATCCGGCCTCTAATCCGTGGATTAGAGGCAGCGCGCTAGAAAAAATCACGATAGCGATTTCATTAAATTCTTCACGCCTCTCCCTTTCGCATCCCCGCTTTCCATGCCTCTCTCTCTCTGTCTCCCTCTCGTTCTTCGAATCGTAAATCTCCGCTACCGAAGGATTTATTGCCATCGAATCGAGTTCTCCATCGAACGACTTATCGCTTCGCTACTCGCTTTGCTGCGCGCGTGTTAACCTGCCGATGTACGCGAGACATCTCGTACACGCGCGATTATGCGACGCCGAAAAAATCGCCTAAGCGTTAACTAATTTCACGCCAGCTTGCTTGCGCTTCGCTTCGACGCCGTTTGATAGAATTTCTTCTGTTAATTATTATTTATACATGTGTTTGAGTACAACGAGACGGAGTGAACCATCATTTATTATATTAGCCATATTCGTCAACCTTTTTGTTTAACAATTGGAAGGTTTATAATTTTTTGCAAATTTTTAACAGCCTGGCTGTAATGACGTAAGATTTGATAAAAGACTTGGCTGATAAACTGTTAAACTTTTGTGAAAACGTTATAAGGATTATCTTTCTATTACA